TCACATGGATGTGCGCCCGCTTAAAAATCACTCCCCATTGGCCCACCCTTAATTGCCAATAACTTTTTAGGGGTGAGTCTGATCAAAAAGTGCAAGAGGACTTTTCTGCTCAGAATCACCCCCTGATCCTAGGGTGTTCAGATGTACATGTACTTCTGAAACACCCTGTATATAAAAATTCGTGTGAAAAACAAAAATTCTCTCTTTCTCGGCCGCGTTCCGCGTGTGTGCGGGGTCCACCAGCGTAATGTAAAGTAATAAAATAAAATCAACAGACACTAGTGCAAAATTGAAATTCATGAATTAAGGATGCATCAAAATCGAAATATTCAATTGGCAAGAATATTGAATCTAAAAGTATTTGATAGGCGAGAATAACAAATTAAATATTTGACGGGTCGAACCAAAGAAATTGAATTTTTAGAAATTGCCATCTGCAGACGAAGATATTTATAAATTAAAATTACAGCTGATAAGGAACTCTTGCATGAAGTGTGGAGACTCCTGATCAGAAAACATTTAATCGAAGGAAACCACGAGGGAGAACTAGTCTCCCTGGCAATAGTAGACGATAAAGTGTATGTTCTACCAGACAAAGTAACAGGATATGTAACAGGTGAGACATCAGGCATACGTGTTAATGGGCGAGCGTACTATACACATTAGAAACGCGGAATATTAAGACGTCAAATTGCTTGAGAAAATTAAATCAATCCCTTGCAATCATAAAAGACTTGAGTGTGTTTGGAGGAGGTCTTATGTTTAGATTTTCTGAAGAGCACACTCATCCTGGATTCGGTTTGTTTATGTTTAGCAAGTCGAGTCTGAGATTTCGGACCTGAATACAAAAACTGTAACCAGATACAATAATCCTCAATTTTTCGGTCTCTTTAAAATTAGATAAAAGAGAATTCACAGGGGATCAATGGAGATGTCTAACTGTGTTAGAAGCTGCATTGTTGGCCGAAAATAAGCCAATGTATCTACCAGGTTACGGTCCGAAGAGTCCAATGTCAACAACAGCTGTAATCGAGTATAGGTCAAGGAACATGAACAAAGACTTGGGAAACACGGAGGCGAGGGCCACAGGCGAGTCCAAGTCAAGCAAATTGACTGGAGGCGAGACGAATGGCGGCGAGATAAGTGCAGGCGGGAAAAACACAGGTAATATTAATGTTGACAAAACTGACCAAATCAAACCGAAACCCAAGATTACAGCAGACAATAAAGTAAATATTAAATTGAAATTGATAAAATCTAATCTAGATGATGAATCAGTTGAGCCTAACGGCAACAAGACTGTCAAGACAGTTTCTGTAGACATACAGCTGGCTGAGCTGAAGAGCATGGTGGAAAAATTGTGCAACTCAAATATAACTTCAACAAAGGCACTGTATGAAAGTTTAACAGAGAACAGAAACCAGTTGAGACTAAATGCTGAGGCGAGAGCAAAAGATAAAAAGGAAGTACAGGAGCTGTTGAGTGCCCTGGACAAAAAGCACAACGATAAAATAGAAGAAGTAAAAAGAACTTTCAATGAATATCCCACTAATGTCGAATCATCAATTAAGGTAACAACAAACAAGAAAAAATTAGACGGAAGAGTGGTGTCAAATGAGCATACGAATCTAGAAAATCAAATTAGTTGAATAGTCAATAAGCAGATTAATGAAATTAATCAAACAAAGTCAAGTCAAGGAAACAATCAAAATCCGTTGAAACAATTAACTAGCGAGGTAACAAATAAATTACAAATAGAATTGCTTAACAAAGGAATGAGCTTTAAAAGAGATTATAAAATGGACAGCAAAATGAAGTATGAACATTTCTATGATTATTTTTCGTCAGAAATCAAAACGAATAAACTCTTACACATCATTGACGATAGCATTCTGGTTACTGTGGATGAGGAAACTCTTGCAGAACAGAAGCATAAAGTTAGAGAAATTCTGATAAACCATTTGGGTAGAAGTTATCACCCTAAAATCGTCAAACTACAAGATCCAAAAGAAATACTGAAAAAATTAAAAGAATTAAAAATGGCCGAGTTTAATGTAACTTCACACTCGGTGAGACAAGACCTGTATAATATGAGATACAATCCAACCAAAATGACAGCTGGCGAGTTTAATGATTTGTTTGATGAGAAAATCGCAACGTATGAAACTGCTCCTGACACCATTCCTCTGAGTGAAAGCGAAAAGAAAGATGCATTTTACAATGCAGTAATAAAAGTTTTTCCGAATATTAAAATCATTGAAAAAGTAACAAAGAAAGCTATAGGAGTGGGCTTGACGTTTGGCGAGTTGAAAATTGCGATGTTAGAAGAAGAAGCTACGACGAAAAGTGAGCTCTTAGATTCAGATCTTAAAACTGCTAATTTTGCACAGCACAAGGGTCCGAGGTTTTTTGCCTGTCAGGCGTATGGGTACAAAGGACCAGACTGTCCCAATAAAGGGAAAGGATACTTGTGCTACAAGTGCAATTAATTTGGGAATCACAAGGCGACAGATTGCCCAAACATCATTAACAATGACAATGCACCAAGTGGTCCGGGATACTCTAAACAGACTCCAAGGTACAATTCCAATTTTAAATTTAACTATCGAAACAATTATCAAGATCAATATAGAGGTAATGGTAGAGGAATGAAAAGACCAATGAGAGGTGAAACATATGATCCAATTAAAAGAGGAAGATTTAATAAGAGTAGGTTCTCCTATAAGGGATGTGAGAACAAACATGGGTTTAAGTCATCTCACAAATCAATCAAGAAATCTAATCCCGACAAAACTACAGAGAAAAATAACTCCAATCATGGTAAGGAAAAAGAAAATCATGATCAATCAACTACTGAAATATTTTATGCAGATAGTAAACAAACAAATGGAAATAAGTTTTTGACAGACTTTCTAGCAGACTCAGGCGCGACCGAGCATTTAACAAATTCCAGAATTACATTTAAAACTTTTAACGAATTAGATTGTGGAGTAATTAGATGTGCGAATAAAAATGAGTCAGCGGACTTGAAAACGGAGGGAGCAGGAACAGTAGAAATCGAACTGGCGAGCGGTAAATTATTAGAAGTTGACAAAGTTATTTTTGCAGAAGCTCTTAAAGCAAATCTGCTATCATTAAGAAAATTTGCCGAAATGGGATTAGCAATCTACTTAGATGACAAGAAAATTGATATATTTGATCCAGTGTCAAATGAACTTTTCATCTCGGGGATTTACAGAAAACCTTACTGGATAATCGATTTAGAAATAGTAAAGTCAAACTCGATCAGTGAGAATTCTTTCAAACAAATAAACAGGCAAGTAGTAGCAAATGTAGCTGATGTCACTGGGGGTGAAAATGAGGTAAAAAGATATCTCACCAGAAGTGTCACAGCAAACTTACAGAACGAAACAAGTGAGAAAACAAACGAAATTGATAAGAGTAATGAGGAAGAAAATAAAATGGATGAAAAGAATAATGAAAAAGGGAGTGAAAATTTAATAAAAGAGAAAATTATTAATAAAGAAAAGATTCCCTATGAACAATCAAATTTTGATTACACCATTTGGGACAGAAAATTGCAAGATGTTGATGAATTACCATGGGATGACTCGTTAGAAGATTTCCCAAAACTTTCAATTGATAAAAATAGCTATATGAGGAATCATGATGTCATGTTGTGGCATTTGGACATAGATTTGGACATGCCTCAACGAGTTACCTCAAGGCACTACAAAAGAAATTCCCAGATAACAAAGAATTAAATGCAGTAAAATTTGATGATGAATTCATTAGAGATTGTGAGGTCTGCTTAACGTCTAAATTCAATAAATTATCATTCACGTCGGTGCGCAGGCGAGCAACAGCACCATTGCAAATAATTCACTCAGATGTGATGGGACCTATTACTCCAATTTCTCATCCTAAGGGATACAGATTTATTTCTGTGTTCATCGATGACTTCTCAAGATTCGCTATGGCTTATCCAATGAAGGCGAAAAGTGAAACAGGACATTGTCTTGAGATGTTCATTAGAAGCGCGCGTAATCTACTGGGTTATGACGCGAAAGTATGCTATCTTAGATCAGATCAGGGAACAGAGTATACAGGCGGGTATACAATTGAAGTTCTTAAGGGTCTAGGGGCGGAATTACAGTTAGCCTCCCCTGATACTCCAGAACACAACGGTGTCGCTGAGAGGTTTAATCAAACTATCCAGAAAAAGGTTGGGTGCTATATGTTTGACTCAAGACTGCCAAAGGGCATGTAGGATCTGGGCTTATCAGCTGCAGTTTATGCTTACAATCGGACTCCACATAAATCAAACAATATGATAACTCCTTTAGAAAGATTCGCGCCTAATCACAGCTTTGACATTAATCAAATCAAAAGATTCGGTAGCTTAAGTTACGTAAAAGCTGCAAGAAACACTGGTCCAAAGTTTGGACCTCGAGGTGTAGGTATGGTCTTGGTTGGATATACTCCAACAGGGTATCAACTCTTAAAGCCAGAGCTAGGGAAGTATTATGAAAGCAGACATGTTAAATTCAATGAAAAATTAGTATATGGGGATAAATACAAGGGAAACGGTATCAAAGATTTCCCACACTATGAAGAAAAGGAGAATAAAGATGAATGGTTTGTTAAGTTCGAAAAGAATCGAGGAGAGACCGAGGATTCTTTAAAACCGGAGGGAGAGATAAAACGCAAAAGAGGTAGACCAAAGAAAGAAGTTTCAGAACAAAACACTATCAAGAAAGTGAAAACAGTTGACATAAAAGATAAAATAATAAATGATAATAGCTTTTCAGAGTTGGAAATTGATGAGAACATGAAAGGAAATGTTTTCTTCACTAGTGTTATCAGTAATGTAGGCGAGATAGATTTAGCACAAAAGGAAGATGAAGTGTACCATGCACTTTTAGCAAACATAAATGAAGATCCCTCAAATTATCGAGAAGCTATAAACAGTAAAAATAAAGATTCTTGGTTAAATGCGGTTGATGAAGAATTAAACTCGTTAGAAAGAAATCAAGTATGGAAAATTGTCAAAAGACCTCTAAGTATGATGAATGGAAAAAGATTAAATGTCATTGATTCAAAATGGGTTTTTAAGTGTAAAAATGAGGCAAATGGAAAATTAAGATTCAAAGCGAGACTAGTAATCAGAGGTTTCAAGGATAAGAACATTTATGAATTAAGGGAAACTTATGCTCCAGTAGCTCGTTTACCTCTAGTGAGAATAGTTATATCGATTATAAACAAATATAATCTAGAGGTGTGTCAGTTAGATGTTAAAACTGCTTTCTTCAATGGGGTAATAGATGAGGAAATTTATATGGAAATTCCAGAAGAAACTAATCATACTGACAGAGATAGGCAAGAAAATGTGTACAAATTGGAAAAAGCACTTTATGGTCTTCGTATCAGTCTCAAACGGTGGAATGTAAAATTCACCGAAGTAGCTTTCAGTATGGGTTTGCAGAACTCGGATTTAGAACCTTGCTTATTCACTTGGCGAGATGAAGACAAGTTCTTGCTTTTGCTACTTTATGTAGATGATATGTTATTGGCGAGTAATGATAACGATAAATTGGCTGAAGTAAAGAGTAACTTATGTAGCGAATTTGAAATGACAGTCCTGGGAGAACCCAAGGAATTCTTGAGCATGACTATTAGGCGGGACAGAGAAAATCAGATTATCACATTAAATCAGGAAAACTATATTCAAAAGATATTAAGTAGGTTTGGCTTTGACAAAGCATATCCACAACGTACACCTATGAATACTTCTCAAGTAGTTAATAATGAGAGAAAATTAAGAGAAACAGAATATGATAATGGGACTTTGGAAAGGACAGAAACAAAAGCAAACATTCCTTATAGAGAGGCTGTAGGTAGTCTTTTGTATTTGGCTGGTGCTACGAGACCAGATATTGCATATGCGGTCAATGTGATAAGCAGACATCAGGTAAACCCTAAAGAAAGTGACTGGGAAATGGTAAAAAGAATTTTCCGGTATTTGAGAGGTACTACGGGCTTAGGTCTGAGATATTCGGGAGAGACCAATGACATTCAGGGTTGTTCTGATGCGAGTTTTTCCGATTGTAAAGATTCTATCACAACTTGTGGATTTGTGATTAGACTGTTTGGTGATTCGATCATTTGGCGAACTCACAAACAAACTACAGTAGCACTCTCCACGTGTGAAGCTGAGTATGTCGCAATGAGCGAGGCGAGTCGAGAAATGATGTCGTTGCACAACTCTTTGAAACTGATACTGGTTGATCCCCCCGTTCCAATGATCTTAAGGTGTGATAATAAAGCTGCAATTGTTAGTGCAGAAACAAGTGGAGGAATGAAATTAAGACACATTGTAGAAAACAAGATACATTATATAAAGGAATGTGTTAAAAGGAATCATATAAAAATCATTTGGATTGGCTCAAGGGATCAGCTAGCTGATGTTTTCACAAAACCATTGACGTATGAAACACACAAGCGTTTGATGGATCTAATAATGAACGTAAATATCTAAATTATTTCTTTCTGTTTATCTAGGAAGTAACTGATTAGGCGAGATGGAAACTGAGGAGTTAAATCAACTGAAATTACCTGACAAGAATACTGAGGCGAGATAAAGTTACCA